TTTTTTACTAGATTTTTGGAACCAGCCATATGGAATCAAGTCTCTTGGAAAAGGTACTAGGATGATGCATTTCTTCTTTTGTGGCATAACTAACTTTAATTCTCATAGATTATTATGATTAAGTTATCTACTGATGACCAACTAGTGAATTAATTTCTTTGATGATCACTTTTATCTTAAAGATTTCTTAAGMTACGAAAACCCTACACAATGTATGGACTTCTACACTTTTGCCAAAATGTCAGGAGTGTTCAATAAATGTGATAGTTACAAGAAGAATGTGAACAAGACTGATGTTGAGCTACACCCAATATTGAAGAACAACAACATAACAGCATCAAAAAGAAATGTACAATTTGGGTTTCCTRTGGCCTGGATGAGATACTACACAAATGATATGGATGACTCTGAATCAACTGCATCTACCGAATTGCTATTCTCAGATGATGAGGAAGCAGGAAATTATGGAAAAATGTGCAATGATCAAGAAGTGCCTTCAAATGCTAATATGCATGGTCTTGACCATAAGAGAATAYGCCTAGATAACGCAGAAAGCTCAAAATTCTGTCCAGTATTTAAATTTCCAGATGTGGTGTATATCCCTCCTCTAAATAGAGATACAATGACCCAGCTCTGTGAACAAAGTTCTGATAAATCTATTGTAAGCCCTGCATCTTCCTGTACACCAGGAAAGATTGGAGGTACATCAAAAGAACAGAAGATTTCTCCTAACTCACTAGTACAAGCGAAGTGCRCAAATGAACTGAGCATACTTTGTGAAGCAGATCTTCAARAGCACTCCCTAAATGATATCYGTTTGCTACACAGTGGTGAGAGCATAACCAAACATTCAAGGCAAGAAACGTTACATCCTAATGATCATGAACTTGAACCAGTTTTACCAAACCCAGGTACAGAAACAGGCTGCGGAGAGTTACAAAGAKTTCCACAAGATTCTAGCTGTGCAAGTGGCAACACACTAGCCAAAAATGATTCTCTTCTTTCTCRCCRCCTGTGCTCATCAGTTTTCTATCTTGATSAAGGAGCTTATATCGATGAGGTAACGTCATTCAAAKAATTCAATATCTGGCTTATAATAAAACTCATAATACACTCACATAATAAACTTTAAACACATTCCCAGTACTTACTTTTTATTATTTTCAAGATTTTTAACTTGCTCTTGCTTCCACATCTTATCTGCAGATTACACTTAGTCCAKTACAAATGTCCGACAATCACAGMAAGATATGGTCAGCTCAGCAAGTGCTGGAAAATGATGAAGATGAATCTTTTTACAATGAAACAAATACGGCAGGTGTTCCTACAATGGCTTCATGTTGCACAGTAAGAAATCCAGAATTRCCAGAATTTATCTCAGTTGTTAAGAACCAAGGTCACACRGAAGAATCCTTTCAATATGCTGACATTGATGTAGAGAGTTGCAGTAGTCAAATCAGTTTAACTAGCTCMACCCAGGACCATTCATCACCTGTTACATTAGAAACAACTTCTTTAAAGATAACAGAGCCCATAGACGATACTATATTACCAACAGAGGAACATGAACTACAAGGTAAAGGAAATCATTTAGAGTAACTATATACATGGAGTTTATATTCTTATGAAAGGTGTTTCAAGTCAGTTTCCCAAATTTCACCTCCTGATTGAAAAAATATAAAAAAAAGTTTTAGGTGAGCCAAAGAATCAGTTCAAGAGTGTTCAAGAAAGCCTTGATGAACTTGAGGGACCAGAACTACTTCTTATGGCAATGGAACTAGTCAAAAGTGCTTTAAAGAAATCAAAGGTATTTCAAAGTAAAGATCTAGCATGACCAGTAGTATTACATGAAACAGTACTAGTTAAATAAAATTAAATTAAAAGAAAAAATTAAAATTAAATCTCAAAAAATTAAAATGTTACACTGAAAATATAATATTTTTTTACAAATGTTCCTCTCTTTTTCATTAATTATAGAAACCGACTAAAAATGAAGGAAATGGGAAGACTGAATGTGTACCTGCCATTGCACCAAAAGCACCCTCTCCAGTATTTTCTTGGAAGAAATTTACATATCAAAATCAAAGCACTTTACCACATGATGATGCAGAGCCAGTGGATAAAGCAGGTACTGCAAATTAGCAAGATACCAGAAATGTCCTAATAGATTTTTTGACTTTACTTTTGCTTATATTTAGATCCAGTACCCCAACAGTTCAATAAGTACACAAAATTGTATTTGAACAACAYATGYACTCGTCCTATCAGACTTGGTCTTTCTAGAAGAYGGACTGRCCCAATGGACMATAGACCATACAACATCAAAAAGCCAGAAACTACAATAAAAATGGTTCATCAATAAAATTTAGGTAAAGAAAAAAAGACAAGAACTGGAAATCAAAAATTAAAGTCATTGAAAAAAAAAAAAAACATTCAAAACGGAAGATGATTAATTTTTTTGACTTGCATTTTTTATTGAAAATTTATATAATATATTTTACAAAGTTTTGGTATATTTTAATGCTAATGGACAGCTTTGGGTTGCTAACAGCAATTTCTTTTAACCCTGTGTAATTTTGAATGTTCCAAGTATACAAACATTTAAATTATTAAACAAATTTTCATCCAACGCAAAAGAATACACTGACTATTATAACTTTGCATTATTATTTTCGGTACACTGCATATTTTTAACTGATAGAAAAATAATATTTTGATGAAAGGTATTCTACCTAACATTTGTAACATCAGTCCATTAGAACAAACGTTGCATCTGTGGCAACACCACAGTTATTGTCCTTCTGAGACATTAAGACATAGCCATTGTTACCCCAGTGAGTAGACCAGGAGTTCTTAATAAGCCAATATTTTTGTCCATCCATTGTACCATATCCCACAGCAAGAACAGCATGATCAAGATCTTTTGGGGCATTTCCTGGTTAAAATAACAAAACAGTAGACACTGTTGTAATTACTTTGCTTGGAATCCAAATCATTTTCATTTGAATTGTATTCATTCAAATCAGCTCCAAAACTGAATTTACATGAGCTTTAGAGACAAATAAAAGAAGCTCTTACATGAAYGTTTAGTTTGCCTACWAGATATGTGTGCACTAAACGCCCTCCAAATTAAGCTTAATTGGTCAAAAATCAAACATTGAGCTCACCACACTTAGGTTCATAGTAAACACCAAAGGAATAAAAGGCAAAAGATCTGTGTGATGCATCTATACCAACTGCTACTGGGCCTCTTTGGGCAATGGCAATTTTAAGAGCATTAAGATCTCCTGAAGTTACATTGACATATCCTGTAATTTTGGCTCCCATTTTGGCTTGTTCAAAATGACAATAGCCATCCTACAAAATCAAGACACAGTTAACATATATTTAAGACTTCTACCTTTTTACTAAAAGTGTACCACATTAATTCACTCATAACATTATAGTAGTCAAGTCTATATGAATGCCAGGTGAATTTAATGCAACATGTTTATATTTTACTTGGTATTATCAACCATGGAATCATCTAGTATGTAACAATAACTGAACAAACCTGGGCTAAGTATTGRCCATAGCTTTCTTCTGTTGTAATTCCTTGGTGTTTCATAACCCATTGGTAAGAGCGAAACTCTTCACCCCCATCGCATCCATTGTTTCCATATCCCCATGARCAGTCTATCAGGTTCTGCTGTGACAGTCTTGTCAAGTTTTTGGTCTGAGAGAAATGATYAAATGTTAAGAAAAAGCCAATTTCAGACTTGAACTTCTGGGGCCATTTATATGAAGGGTTGATAAAGTTATTCTAAAGTTATCAACCAGTTAGGTTATCCACACCTTGGATTTTTAACAAAGCTGTTATTATAACACAAAATATTATGATGTACTTTATAATCATGCATTCAACAATCTCATGTATTTAATTTTTACAAGGATAATGAAGACATAACCATTAATACTGGCTATACCTAGTGAAACTGTGGCAAAAAAATACCTTCATGAATAGAGCACCTTCTATAGCACCAGTTGATCCAAAACTCCAACATGAACCACATACAGCTTGATCTTTCACAGGAGTAACAGCACCTAAACAATATAATATAATATTAGATTATTCATATCCAGTAAAATTTGTCTCCCTTTTCCTCTATTTCTTACCACGTATGTTCCAATCAATGGTATCAGGGACATCGTTGATTGTAGACATATCTGGTTTATAAGGGAGACCCCCATTGTATCCATGGGTACTTGTTCTCCTTCCTCTTAGCACCTTGAGTTCTTTTTCAGTACRATCAGCAAGGTGATTAATGGCCATATAAAATCCAGTATGTTGACGATTCTTTGAATGAATAAATCTGTTTGAACAATAACAATGTAAAGTATACTTCAGCATCTAATCTGGTATTAATCTAATAAATATGTTTGTTTTCAAAAATTGTAAAGTACCTTAAATTTTGTCTAAACAAATCACGTCGATGTTCATGCTCCATTTTACTACTATAGTCTTTGKGRTGTTTTGAGAGAAAGTGGTCAAAGATACCATGAATGACCTCACTGCCTTCAGGTTCAATGAACTCTTGCATTGGGTTAGCAATAATAGCATCTTCYACACCAGGACCAGGGAATCCAGTACAGACCATACCTAATAAAACAATGTCTTCAATGAGTCTGGAGCAGTTGTATGAAGGGTGAATAGCAGTCTCAARCACATACAAGCTGTAATTCAATATAATTCCAGTAGTTTCCGTCATTGAGTGGTAGCCATGCCTTTGCATCGAAGCAAGATGAAAATTGAGTGTACAATAATAGGAACCTTCTATCATTGCACACTCGACGGTAGCCTCACTTCACTGCAAAAGCACAATAACCAAGATGGTTAAGGAAAACATTATGACCTTTACCTTCCGGTATGTGAAAAATATGTTCCGATGGGGCAGTACCACTAAAGTCAGCATACTTTATTTCATATTTATCATAATGAGAACCAAGAAGGCTGTCATATCCCAGCATTTCATAGTGTACAGGATTGTTTTTCTCGTCCATTGTCARATGCATAGTATATGTATTTTTTTTGTGTCCTACAAATTCAACATATTGCCATGCTTGGCAATCTACACCACCATACGTTGTCTTGCCAATA